ATGACTCTTTTAGGAGATGCAGAAGAGCTGGGCCGAGCGGCTACAAGAGGCTCCGTGGAGAGGGACCCTAGATGCCCTAGATCTGACCTGAACTCCGCATGTCGCAGGACAAGGTGCGCCAAGAGGAGAAACACTCCCATCGGCGAGCCTCGGCTGCCCTTGAGCCCGTGGCTGTTCTTGCAGAGCCCTTTCTAGCTTGCAGGGACGACGATCCCACCAACCGTGCCCATGATGGTGAATCTGAATCCCGATGCCCAACTGCAGGGTCGAGCGACTTGGACTGCAGAGGTTGCCAGGAAAATGTGATCTTTGCAGATGTGGGCACTGCAGGTGAGGTACTATTTTCCGGAGGGCAAGAAGACAATCATCGGTGGACCTGAGCAGGGTGATTCGGATTCCGTGCCTCCGTACAAAATTGGAGGTGCAATGTTGTGAGAGGTCGGGTAGGCAACACCCGATGATGACGTGCGGCACTATTGCAACTTGAGCGAAGGAGAGTAAGAACGACGGGACTTCCGACAGCAGTGAGGCAGGGTCTTTGCAATGTTGCAATCTTGTCAACTTGCTACATAGTTCTGTGGCTCATAATTCAGCCATACTCAGGAGAGCCGGTTTACTCGGCATCCACACCATCCCCTTTACTCATGTTTCCATATGTGCACGCAGGACACGGAAAGCTCTGAGAAAGAGCCTGCGCCTGCTCCAGATGTATCCTTGCTGGGTGCTGGCATCCGGAGGCTCATGCCTCCAGAGAAAAGAAGCCTCATGTAGCCGTCCAGCCTGGAGGCTTCATGCCAGCATTGTGAACGAGGACAGCCGCTGTGTCCTGACAGCGCTCAGCATGGATGCCGCGAAGGCTTCGTGCATCTTTGCTGTCTCTGCTTTGGGATTCCGAAGAGTCAGAACGACATCCGCACCAAGCCTAAAATGTGGCGAGGGTGTCAGTGTGTGAGGCCACGTGCTTGAACGGCTTCCCGCTAGACCAGCTCTTGCAGGCCAGAGGGCAGGGATATGATGTGACTATTTGTAACCTACAGAATTTGAGAACTGGCGAGCTTCCGGCAAGGACCCCAAGCCCGTGAACCGCGAACTGCTGGGAAACGGTTTGGATGGCCTCGAGCTGAAGCACCGTGATCACCTGAAGTTCGGCCCGCCACCGAGCCCACGAGATATAGCATTGTCACAGTGCTCTGGGACAAGTTTATCAGAGACGGAATCTCTTTCGGGTTATGGTCGGGGTGTCACCGAGGCCCTTGCTTTTTTGTCTTCGTGAAGCCCACAGAGGGCAGCGCGGAGGCGCAAGCTGTGACGCCCTGCGCCTTCTTTTTCTTAATGATCTTAAGCCCAATCCTAGGCAGGAGCCCCGCCCCGAAGCCCTAAACCCTAAACCCCTAAACACCCCAACAGCTGTGAAAACACCTGAGCCCCAAAGACTGGGAGGCCCTGATCGCCAGTGGGGAGGCCGACTTCTTCGAGGCTCAGCTCCCTGGCTAAAAGCTCAGTTCCAGTTTGCAAAACTGGGTTTAGGGTGTAGGGGTTTAGGGTTTAGGGTTCCAAAGGGGCTGGGTGTTAAGTTCAGCTTAATTCAGCCTCGTCGAGCAACAGACGGGAGCGCCCGGGGACGGAGGCAAACAGAATCCTTGCAATTGAAGTAACGGGCTTGCTTCTACCGACAGAGGGGGGATCAACAAGGGCGAGAGCAGGCCGGGTTGGGGGCGAGAAGATGGGGAGAAGGCCCAGCAGCGGGGGGAGAAAAGACCTTGTAGGGGGAGGAAATCATGCTTCAGGGTGAGGAGCCGCAGCAGGGGACGCGCTCGCGGATACCCAGTGGCGGAGAGATGAAAGAGCCTTTCAAGGGGAGGGCCCGACTAGGACTTCATGCAGGTTTTCGGAAAAAAACGCTTTCGCTTTGCGGGAATCCACGCTAAGGGGCGAAAGGGAGGCTCGGCAGACGACAGAGACCCGGCGCCTGAGAGGAAAAGGCCGTTCGGAGGAGATTCGGCACGGGCCCTGCAAGCAGACGGACAAAAAGCATGAACAACTTTTCTTTCCCTCCCCGCGAACGTGGACGTTTTCCTGCACGAGGACCCTCAACGGCGGAAATGGGGCCTCGATCCACGGCAAAGAGACCCGGCAGCGGGTGAAAAAAGACCCGCGCCAGGGACAAACAGAAGGGAGGAGAACTCCTCACCTGCATGTAGGAGCGGGTGCAAACGAGACCCAAAACGCGAAGACAAGTGGCGCGGTGGCAAATGAGATCCAAAACAGGCGGACAAGAACACAAAGCCCGTTCTAAGCAGGGTTACATGATATAGAAGTTATATTATATCATATAGTTAGTTATACAAAAGCCCTGGCATATGGGCGTCAACAAACAGTTAGAATTTACATTACATACACTGTAGCATTATTGGGGACTCAAAGGGGCTGATGAACCTATGTATGTATGTATGTATGTATGTATCTATCCATCTATCCCTTTATCTATCTCTCTACAAAACTAATCCAAACTACTCTAACCAAGTCTAACCTAATCTAATCTAGTCTCATCTAGTCTAATCTATCTATGTATCTCCGTACCTGTACGTACACATACGCACACTCCGACATACCTACCTACACACACACATATACATACGTATATATGTATATATATATATATACACACACACATACACACGCACATATATATATACACACATACACATACATATACATATACATACATATATTCACAAACTCATACAATACACAACAGAGCAAGCCTAAGGCAATGTAACATAACTTAACGTAGCGTAATGTAACGTAGCGTAGCACAACATAACATAACAAAAAAAATAACAAAGCATAACATGCAACGACATGACATAGCACTTGCGCAAGGTAGATTGGTGGATGGATAGGTAGAGGATAGGGCAAGGGATGCTCGTACCAGTACCTTGTGTTTTTTTGAATTTGCTGGAGTTTTGCATTTGACCTCAGGATGGAGGAGACCAGAGCGAAGAGGTCCAAGCTCCAGGGCAAATCCTTGCTGCAGTTTCCTTCTTGCCAAGACGTTTAAAGGAGGTTTAGGGCTTCGGCTTCGGGCTTATGATTTAGGTTGGGGGGGTTTGGCGCTTTGAGGATGCCTCAACCCCCACCTCGAATTTCAAGACACCCGAACCCGGAAGCCTAAAGCACCCAAATCGTCGAGCTTCCGACTGGAGTGCCTTTGTGAGGTCCATGACTGAGAAGCGTCTGCGACAAAGCTTGTTCTCGCCGAACCAAGTTCTTCCAGGCCGAGTAGTGAGGTCTTGTTCTACCTAATTTTTGAGGTTTTATTTCAAGCAAGATAAATGGGGGTGTGCTATGGCATGGTTGTGAATGGCAGAGCAGGGCATACTACTGCCAAATATGTTCGGAGTCCCCAGAAGTTGCCCGGAAGATCAAGATTTCACTTCAGCAGCCAGGGCCCCCAAAATGAAGAACAGACCCTCGGTTTTTGCTTCTGTTCTTCAGGACTCGACGAGATGAGGGACATTGCAGAGGCCCCGATGTGCATAGTCTTGTGCATGCGAAGCAGCAGACGTAGCGTCCGGGTAGCTGTGGGATGTTCTCGGACGGGATGCACGAGTTGCAGGAGCTGGAGCAGAAGAAGAGAGAGCTTCAGATGAAGGACCACGGCGCCCGACGGTGCAAAGCTGCAGCGGTACCCGTCGTAGATGTTTTGCAAGAGCCCTGCTGCATGATGCACTTGATCATAGTAATAGGTTTGAGTCTCCCACGATATGTGGCTCGAGTTGGACAGCCTTGTACTAGTGCCAGCATTGGCATTAGTATAGTTCCAAAGAGAGCCCGACCTGTCAGATCCCGCAGGATGCGCTGCTGCGCGCCAAGGACGAGGAGATGGAGCAGCTCCGCTCGGAGCTGGATGCTTTGCGTGAAGGCCTCATGTCCGGGCGGTAAGTCGTTTCGCAGACATCTCGAGGAAACATCCGTGCCTGTCAACTATCCATGTTGGATGCTGGCACTTGGCACTGGCCACTCCACACAGCAACTTCTTTTGAAGATCAACCTCTGTGCCTGCATATGCTCCTCCATTTTTTCAACGCAATCCAAAAAGTGTCAGTGGTCTAGTCTCGGACATTGATTTCTAATATTGTCTAATGTACCAGGACTACGTCCGGGCGGCTTGGCTGAGTTGGTGGAATGCCGAAGGGGTACCATCGCCTAGTGCCATGCAGTCGCTGAGGTTACGACAGCGGCCTGGCGGGCCGGCACAGCAAAGTCTCAGTTGCCATTGACAGCACTTTCGAGGCCCAGATGCACCAGCCATCCAGCTTGAAACATCATATGGCCCCGATGCCAACAAATGCAGGATGCGCTGGCTCAGCTGAGCGCTGTCGAGGCGATGCATCCCGGCGAGGAATGGCTTTCAGCTTGTTGATGCGACACTTCCGAAACCCTCGTTGGGTCAAGGTTAACGGCCTGCGCCCCGGGCGCACTGCAGCGTGCTTCCCCGAAGCGTCTCGGCTTTGCCCAGAGTTACAGCGTAATCTTTCGACAGCCAAGCCCAAAGCCCACTCGCGGGTTGGTTGAACGGTTCTTCGAGCCTTCAGCACATTGAGATTCAATCGCTATTGAACGCACATGCCCATTCTGTGCCGGCTTGCAGAGCTTATTCAGAGCGCCTCTTGCATGCCAAGGAGCACCGAGTCTTCGTCGTGATGCTGCTGCTGCTAATGATAATGCCTTGATGCCACCAAAGTTATTAGTGGCGAGAAATTGCCTCTTTGCAGCTGAGCAAGAGGTCGGGTGGCCGAAGTAATTCGACAGCCCACAGTTTTCGTGGACCATCCCCTGAGTGGAGTGGGCCAGAAAAGATCAGCATGCTTCTCTGAAAAGCTCAACGCATAGCTCAAGATCAGAGCTTGATGACCCGGGCAGAGTTCACGTGCAGCCTGTTGAATGTGGCGATGGGGGGGATGGGGGGATGGGGGGGATGTGAGCTGCTTGCCCAGGCTCGCAAGGACCGAGGAGGTGCGCTGCTCCACGGTCTGGGGCCCCAGCACCGTGACTCCGTGAGGGAATCTGGGAGTTGTCAACACGGACCACTCTGAGCACTCGCGTGTCGGCCTCGATCCCAACCTTCCGGCTCTCAGGACATGCTCCTCGTCAACCCGAACCGGGGCTTCGGTTGGCACCAGGTCAGCCCTGCACATCATGGCATAAAATAGGGCACCAGGCATGGCGCAGACCACCAAAGGGCGCTTGCAGTCGTATGGGCTTTGGGGCGAGAGCTTTCGCGTCCAAGAGACCCCCAATTTAATCCGAACCCTACACTCTCAAGCCCTACGCCAAAAGCATCCTCGAGCCCTAAACTCCACAGTGAAGGACAACCAGAACGGGCCCATCGAGTTCGATGATGCGATCCGATGGTCGGCTCCTCAGGCTTCCCCACCAGAAGAGTTTTCCTGTTGCGACCACCACGATGACGACTATTCTGCCACAGCTGTTGCGACTGCTCTGGGAGAGCACTACCGGGCGCCAGCCCCAGCACCAGCACCTTCGCCGACCGCCTCCACCGCCACCACCGCCACCACAGCCACCAACACCGACTGCATCGCCACCACCACTACCACCGGCAACAGTGGCACAGCGTCTGGTCCAGGCTTTTTTTAGTCCCATCTGCCTTATTTTTCAGTTAGCATGGCTTTTGTTATTCTAAAGGTCATCCAGAGAGCAGATGTCGGCTGAGGTGGGTGGCCATGGATGCTTGTGGTCAGGCACGCTCCAGCTTTTTAAGCTTTGCAGCGTGCTGCCCCTTTTAGCCGTCAGGATGGCATTGGTGCTCCTGAGTACTTGCTGGGATCTCACCGCAACAAGTCTGCCCCTTGGGTTTCTGAGCACCGCGAAAACAAGGGGGGGGGGGCTTTCATCAACATGCACCGAGCGACGTTCGCATGCCTATTTTAGGTCGGTCAGCAGCGATGCCGCCCACCTGCCCTGTTTTGCAGCCCACTCTGCAGGATGCTGCAGTCAAGTCGCTTCATGCTCTGCTTGTCGTTGCAGGTCTTCGTGAAGCTTGAGGACCCTGCAGCTCGTTGATAGCGTCAACGATAGTGTTAATATTTCTCCGAGTCGTGCTTTGCAAACTCGGGCCACTTTGGGTAAACACTTTCTGGCAGGACGGAGACCTCTCAACCTATCCTCGAAGCACCAGGTGTGCTGGGCGTAGTTTTGTGGGTGCACCAGTGCTCAAAGAGCTGCCAGAACGCCAGGTACACTCCCGAGCCAGGAGATTTGATCATCTGGAATGCCCGCACCAGCGCGGAGCCCAGGGATGACAGAATCCTGGGGTTTTCCGTGCAGCACGAAGCCACAAACAACGCGCTCTCTGCAGTTCACCGCATCGTGGCGCCTCCGGGGCAGAAGTGGGTGGACCGACCCTTGTGCCTCCTCCCTCGAGCGGCTGCGGTGTCCCTCTTTTCAGAGTACCGGGACTCGGATTTCGTTTGCTCCCTCTCTCGCTCTGCGAGGACGGCACTCAGCGGCGCGCCATCGGAGGCACCATGGCCAAGGCCATCAAACGCACAGCAGCATGCGCAGCAGCAGCCCGCAGCTCCTTCTGAAAGATGTCGCCCCGGAGGCTGGTGCCAAGTACATCAACAAGGGCGGTGCCAGCGGCATCAGCGACCTTGCAGGCGGCGTGTATCGCAGAGTTCGTGCTCAGATTGCCTCAGCTTTCTTAGCATCCAGGGCATACCCAGAAGAACGGCGAAGAGCTCGGAGGCCTGAGCCTCAACCCCTCAACCGCCGCACTTGGTCCATGATTCGATTTCACCTGCCGTGCAGCATGCGTGCAGCTGCAGCTCCTCGTGTCCAAAATGCTTAAAGCGAAGCAAATCAGGCGCCAGGAATGCACGGATGCACCCAGGCCCCTATTTCCCACGCATTTTTCCCGAGCGCGTTCCAGAGGAGGAGGCTGGACAGTCGGGCAGCATGAGCTCCGCCGTGGGTACCATTTCTGTGAGACATAAGGAGCATGAAATATTCAAGTTCTCGCTCGCAACTCTTTGAGTGCCCACTGCCGAATTGGCTCAAGCCCGTGCTCTTCCCTTCTCTCTTGCAACAGGGCCAGAGGCTGAGAGGCTGAGGTGCATAGGCTGCCATCGAAACTTCCGTCCGTGTGAGGCTGCTCTCATTCGTCATGCATGGATACGCAGACAGGCCTGGTTATATAATTTAATGTTTCTGCCATGCTTGGGCGATGATATTTTCGCATGTACTCTCCGTTACTAGCATTGTGATTAACGTGTGTCGGGCCGAAGAGCTCTTGACATTGCCAGTATTATGTGCACTTCCTTGCCTCGAATCTAGGCTTCGAGTGGATCTCTCGCACACGAATCGCACCGTCGACACATCCCTGCATCATTTCGTCGTGCGGCCTCCTGCGAACCCACCCGCAAAGCGTAGTCACTGATTCCCTGCAAAGCACACGGCGGATTTCTGCATCCATCTTGAAGGCAAGCTGCGGCTCGACGCACAGCAATCCTGGCGGAGTCCGCCGTACGTTCTGCCAACCAGGTGGATTCGCAAGACACTACGCAGGTAGACAGTAGAAGCGAAGAGGTCGAAAGACCTGTACCAGAAAGTTCCATGAACACCTATCAACACATATCAACGCCAATATTCACAAGGTGTGCATAGCAGCGGGGACGGGGAATGACGGGGACTAGCAAGCTTGCAACAGCCTGAATACCGTAGCCGGGAGTTTAAGCATGTGAAACGGAAGCATGGCAAGGTTCCCGGTCGAGAAAGGCATTGCGACAAGGGGTATTCCTGCGGATGAAACCTTTCGGGGAAAGTGTGCAGGGACTTGCAGCGGCCAGGTCAGAATGCCTTAGTTGGTAATTTGGCGTGCGAGGCATGGCAAGGCTTCTAGCCAGGATTCGAGACAGTATAGCGGCAAGGTGTATTTCTGCGGGAATCTTCAATATAAGGGTCGACGGCTTGAAGCAGCTTGAATCTTCCAGCTGATCGGCTGTACACTGAAGATTTCGCGACATACGGTTTGGGGATCTTCGATTTTCAGTCTTCGGTGGAGTGCATTGAAATTGAATTGGGTTCGCGTTCTGACTCGAGTTGGCCTGTCCTAAGCAGACAACATATACATATAGTCACTTTATTAGATAGATTTGTATAAGGTAGACATATGTATATGTATATGTGCATGTACGAAAACTGAGTATACAAAGACATGTAAATATGCATATATATATATATGCATACGACTCGTATACAGATAAACAGACAGAAACCGGCATGTCTCGAAAGTCTTTGTGTTGATGGAGCAAAGAGCTGTTACATGTCATCGCACAAAGATGCACAACCATACAGCTCTGTGAGAAGATGCAAGTACATGCCGTGGAGTGCTGTCGACCATGCGAAGGTCCGCGGCACTACACCTGTCTTCCCCAAGGATGACAGGACAGCTTCATGTTGCGCACGGCAGAAAGAGGGGCTCTATTACTGCATTCCGAGCGTTGAGGATCAAGCGCTTGCTGCGTGACGCCCTCGATGCGGCGGCAGATCCTTTGAGTAGCTACTTGGAGGCCAGCCGACCTGACCTGCAAAGCGCGCAGTCCCGGCCGTCCTGGCTTTCTGCCCGCCTTGCAGCCGTACCTGGACCTGCGACAGGAGTTGGACAACGATCATTTCGAGCAGCTCATCGATGCTTTCCGCCCACACGAAGTGCGCATGCTAGTCGGGAGGTGCTGTAAAAGCAGACCGAGAGACGTGCTCTTGAGCCAGCAAAAATGTTTGCGGCATGGTTCAGGTGCGTTGCGAGACTTTGGTTCAGTCCCGGAGTCATTCAGAGCTTTTGTCCAAAGACCCTGCAGACATTCAGGGCTCGATCGCTTGCATCATGTTCACCGGATGTCTGTGGCAGTACCAGGAGGGCAGGAGTGGTGGTGGTGGTGGTGGTGGTGGTGGTCGTCGTCGTGGTAGTGGTAGTGGTAGTCGGAGTAGGAGTAGGAGGAGGAGGAGGCGGAGCAGGAGCGGAGTAGGAGTAGGAGGCAACAGGTAGGAGTAGGAGTAAGAGTAGGAGGAGCAGTTGTAGTTCTCACGAAAGCTAGCTCTGTGGAGCTTGCGGGAGTTGTCGTTTACCATTCACTTAGTAGGAGAGACCTAGGTCAAAAACGCACGCAGGACCTTATCTGGTCCGTTTCCAAGAGTTAAGGGGGGGGAAAGGGGGGGCCCCCCCTCTCGCCACCTCGAAAGAACCCCCCCCCGCCCTGCAACATTGGACAAGGATGGACAAGGTGACCCCCCCCCAACCTATGGTCCCCCCCTTCCCGCCACCATATGGTGCGCCCCCCCTCCTCTTCTTACCAGAAGGTGCCATCAGAACAGATTACACCTGCATGCCTGCGCAGCATGCAGCACGGTGAGGTTCAGGCGCAAAGGCATGCACTAGAGGTTGAAGCTCAAGCACAACGCGCGGTAGCGAACACACAAAGCCAAGCTAGCGAGTTCGCGTTGCATGCTCGAGATGCTGTCTTGCAGGCGAACCGAGAAATCGACATGCTTCGCCAACTGTTACAGCCGAGAGATCAAACGATCGACCGGTTGACGCGCGAAAACACATGCGCAAGCCAACAATGGCGCGGATCATACACCAGCAGCTTCGAGACCCCCATTGCTTCCCTCACCTTCTGCATCTGGCCACTCGCCATCACAAGCTTCTCACGTCGAGTCTCAGGGCTCTGTCGCGTCAGAGCTCCGAAATGAGATGCGAGAAGAGCTCCGTCAGAGTATGGATAGAATGCATGAAGCAGTTGTCACCATGACGCAGCAGGTTGGTGAGGCCATGCAAACCATGCAACAGCAAATCAACGTACTGACAGCGCAAATCGCCAGATCATCCCATGGATCTGTCGAGGGCGTTGCGCCCGACACATCATCACATGCATCTCGCGCGTTCTTGTCCATTTTCCGCGTCTTCTAGAATCAACAGTGAGGGGATGCAGCCTGCTCTGGAAAGCAAGCTGAACTGGTCCAGCAGCGACCGGTGTACCTTGCTCAACAACCAGGTCATGGACTTGCTGCCAGTCTGCGTCCCTGCATCCCCTGCGCACCTTCACCACCGACAATCAGCTAAGCTTCCGCACAGGTCCTGCCACCCCACCAGTCTGAGCGAAAAAACTGCAACATGACACAACCTGCTTTTTGCAGTCGTTTGCTCTAGCTTTCGTAGCCCAGTTCTCAAGCAGTAGTCGAAGTAGCAGGCGGCAGCAGCAACAGCAGGTGTTGTTGTTGACGTTGTCCCCGCAACTCTACTAGTAGTGGTAAAGGGTGGTGGCAGCGACAGGGGTCGGGTAGCCGTAGCGGTAGTCGTAGTCGGCGTGGTAATGGCAGTGGTACTGGCAGTGGCAGTGCCAGTGCCAGTGGCTGCAGCAGAAGTAACAGCAGCAGCAGCCTTAGAGAAGCAGCAGCTTTAGTAAAAGTTGTAGTAGTATAGTAGTAGGCAAAGCCAGCTCCAGTTGCAACACCACGACTTGCAATCAATTCTTGTGACCATGCTGGCAGTCACTTCGGAGTCTCGCGATGCTGCAGGTACCTAGGGATGCTTACGTTATCGTGCAGGGTCATTACGTGCAGAATGACAAGCCGGGACTGTTCGTGCTGGAGGCCCTGCCTTGTTCCGTACGGTTTTGAGGGAAGCCCTTGTCAGAGCTTGATAGCAGGATGGCGAGCTGGAAGCTCTGAAAGCAGACAAGTACGAGGTGCGTCGTCAGAGATACGAGTCTCATTGTTTCGTGCGCATGTGTCGCCTTCTCTAGACCCCCGCATGCTTGGGTTCCTGACCTTCCCAATTCCAAATCTCGAACCTCTGGTTCCCAAGCTTCATCGTGTCTACCTCTGGTTCCCAAGCTTCATCGTGTCTGTGTGTCAGGAGAAAGTTGTGCAAACGTACACGGAGCGCGGCTCTTGGAGACAGCACAGTGCAAAAGAAGCTTAGACTTGAATCACTTGAAGCAAAAGAACTTTCGAGCCTGAGGCCCGGCAGCATCTTCGGTGAGCTTGCGGTCCTCCACCAGGCCCGGTGACAAGCCGAAGATCCCGGAACCACTTTGCACGCCCAAGGCCCCGCGTGCGGCGACCGTGGTTGCACGAACTGCGGGGACCTCGAGATTTAGTTTCGTCCAATGAGTCGGCACAGTGTTGCCACGAAGGATGCGGTGATTTGGTCTGTCAGCAGACAGACGGTCCACAAGATCACTTGCTCCTTCCAGGTCCGCCAACTTGATTTGTTGGTCGCAGCTGCCAGTATCCAAAGTTCTGTTCGTGAAGTGCAACTGGGAGTCCGTGTCAACACTCCTTGACCCTGACCCTCAGCCAAATGTGGCTGTGGCAACCTCTCCGGACCCGACGAGATTGTACCACTGTATCCCTGTCGTTGGGGTGCAATTTCAACCCGAACCTCTGCAGGAAGCGAAGCGGAAGTACTACGATCGAAAGCTGATGTGTCGTTCCGAGAAGCGAGCTGCAGCGTGTTCAGGGTCTAGTGGCACGAACATAGCCGATACACGAATGCCTGTACAGACAGTTCATTGATGAAGAAACACTCACACGGTGAAGTGCGAGGAAATCAACAGTCCCTAGGCCAACAGCATACAGGTGAACAGAGGAATCAATGTTCTCATTCAAAGGCACAAACCATTCTGATTCTGGATTGATGAGTGCACAGTCCCAGACTCAAACAAGCAAGCAAACATCCAGAGACACCAACACACGGACACGTACATGCATTTTTGCCACATCGCCTTTCTCCCCGCATCCGGACACACACGCACACACACGACCTCTGTAGGTAAGTATAGACATTCTATTAATCCACATAAAAGTCCATACATACGGTCCAACATGCATGCATGCATGATAGATATACATATACATATGCATGTGCATGTGCATATACATAGACATATACAAAGACATAGACATAGATGTACATACACATGTGCATACATACAGGATTGCACAGACACGGGTGCTCTGCTAGGGATCTTGGTGCCTACATGCACCGTTTGCACACAAGAATCACTTAAGTACTAGCCAGCTGGTCGGGTCGTAGTTGCTTGAAACAGTCAAGGTCGGTGGATGTGCTCCAGCCCTTGGACGACGAAGAGCGTCAACAGGTTCTTCATCAGTTCATGCAGCGCCCGTCCGTCTTCTCGTAACGCAAACTGCGCAGGTGATCGAGTGCCTGAGGCTGCCGAGTGCCGTAGCTCCTATACCCCTCAGCCTCAGTACAGTTGACCTCAACTGTCCGGAAGGAGGCGTGACTACGACCCTGGTCATGTCATCATCCGAGAGGGTGAAGAAGGACCCTTGGACGGAGGCGAAGCATCCCAGGTCATGACGTTGCGACCATGCAAGGACACGAGTTCTTCCTCTTGATAGAGGGCACCGCGACTGTGTCGAAGGACTGCCCTGCTGTGACTGCTGCCTGCAGCAAGGCATCCCGAGCCATGAAAAGTACAATATGTTCCGTGATTTGAACTGCAGAACGGCCTTGACCTCAAGACCTATGGGCCTTGATCTCAGCAGCTGGATCATCGCGTCCGCGTCCGAAAGCAGCGTCATTGCTCCTTTAGGCCCGGTGACTACTTCGGAGAGCTGGCCTTGATGCATGCGAGGTACGGGGGGTATTGGGGGGTGTGTTGGCAAGGAGATGCTTCAGAGAGCCAGTCCTCGTGCCAGTCCTCGTGCGGCCACCGTGACGGCCGTGGACTCCTGCACACTGGCGGTTCTTGCAGAGAAGGACTTCCGCAGGTGCCCGACAGAGCCTGACGCTGAGCCTTGGCGAGGGTCCGCTGTGCTAAGCTTGGTGCAGGTTGCTCGGGCCCTTGGCCAGTTTTCACGAAAGTGAGGAGGGTCGGGTGCTTAATTCCGTTCTCTTGGTGTCATACGTTGCATTCATCAATTCATCAGATGTCGTTGCTGGAGGTCGAGCATCTCGCCTGTCTCCTACTTCCTCACCGCGGCAATCATTTGATGGGGCAGGCATAGCTCGCTTTCATGAAGTATGTTCACTTTCTGAGTGTGGCATGGTGGTAGCGTCACGACGGTCGTTTGCTGGAGGTCGAGCATCTCACCTGTCTCATACTTCCTCTCCACGAAAATCGTTTGATGGAGCAGGCACAGCCTCGCGTGTTCATGCAGTGACATGGTGGCAACGTCACAGGGGCAAGTTGCATTCAGGGGACATCGTGTGCTGGAGGTCGACCATCTCGCTTGGCTGCTACTTCCTCACCGCGCCAATCCTTTGATGGGGCAGGCATCGCTCGCTTTCATGAAGTATGTTCACTTGCTGAGTGTGGTATAGGCAACGTCACGACGGCAAATTGCATTCATTCGACGTCCTGTGCTGGAGGTCGATCATCTCGCTTGTCTCAAGCTTCCTCACCGCGGCAATCCTTTGATGGGGCAGGCATCGCTCGCTTTCATGAAGTATGTTCACTTGCTGAGTGTGGCATGGTGGTAACGTCACGGCGGCAA